ATAGATAGATTGTTTATTGAAAAAAATTTGAGTTTTCCTCACAATAAGCTATTTTCAGTGTGCTTTGTTGGTAAAGTTGGTGTCTGAGATAGGAAGCTCCTTCAATTATGAAACGTTGCCTTTCACAGAAGTTGCTCTGGATTTTCAAGGTCCCAGTGCAGCTCTCTTTTATTAACAAGGTTGAGCTCCCACGTCCATGGATCTGCCTTCTTTCTTGGCAGCCTTGTATGCAAGCTGAACACCAGGACCACCATCCTGGCAGCCACCAACCCCAAAGGCCAGTACGACCCCCAGGAGTCCGTGTCCGTGAACATCGCCCTGGGCAGCCCGCTCCTCAGTCGGTTTGACTTGGTCCTAGTTTTGCTGGATACCAAGAATGAAGACTGGGATCGTGTCATTTCCTCCTTTATCTTAGAGAATAAAGGTATGTAAAGAAAACCATTTGGGCTGACAGGGAGAGCTTAGATCTAGAGAAAGGCAGTTTTCCTTGAAAACCAAAGATGTCTTTTTTGCAGACCCCTGAGGGATGCTTAGACAGAAGATGGTGGTTGAGAAGAGGTGGTCGTCAGGCCCAGCATAATGAGAAGGGAAAGGGTTCTGCCACCTGCTGGGTGAGACTGCCCTGGAGGCAGGTGTCCTTGGGGTGAGAGGAGGTGACTCATGCTACCGCATTACTGTCACTCAGCTCTTGCCACACAGTTGGGACTGAATTGCGATGTGGGAATCGCTCAATGCAAGCCCCTCTGTAAGCAGTTTCCCCAAGTTCTCTGGTTGCTAGCAAGCAGACTGGAGTATCCTCAGTGATGTTAGCCCCCTAGGAAGCATGCCTTTATTAAATCAGATCCGCAGACTATTTGTTTGGGAGAAAGAACAGTCTAGTTTTCCTCGACTTCAGAGCCTGGAGGCTGTCTTTTACAGGCGAGAGCAAGAACTGGGCACCCTTAACGATGTCACACTGTTAAAACATGCTGGCTGACGCAGGTTACCCAAGCAGGGCTGAGCGGTTGTGGAGCATGGAGAAGATGAAGACCTACTTCTGCCTCATCAGGACGCTGCAGCCCACGCTGTCGGACGCAGGCAACCAGGTTCTCCTGCGCTACTACCAGATGCAGAGGCGGAGCGACGCCCGCAGTGCAGCCCGCACGACCATCCGTCTGCTGGAGAGCTTGATCCGCTTGGCAGAAGGTGGGCAGCATTCACCATGGGACACTTCCACTGAGGCCCAGTGTGCCGAGCGTGGCGTGGGAACCACAGCGCCATCCCTAAGAGGGCGCCTGGGGTCACATGACAGTGAAGGCTCAGAGCCCCAGGAATCACGCTGCAGGACAGGAAGGGGTGCTGGGCAGAGGTAGCACCCTGAGAGCCCTCTCGGGACTGCCTCTAATGGGAGCCCTCGCTTCCCCTGTGTGCTTTCTTGGTGGCGGCTCTGTCAGCATTTGCAGTGGGAGGTTTTGCATGTACAGCAGTATCTCCTGTTCCTGATCCGTTTCAGCCACTCGGACCCTTCCCATTGTTGCCGCAGTGGTGGATCTGACGTGGACACACACACCTAACATGTCCCACGCTTCCCTCTGACACTGGCTTTTGCACTTTAGCCTGCATGCAAATAATGCTTAAAAACCCACATGAGCTGCAAGTTAACATACAATGAAATCACATAAGCTTAATAAACAGTACAAAATAAAAGGATCTCTTTTTTCCCCAAAGATTTATACCTAATACTAAGGCAAGAAATACCCAAAATTCAAGCTTATTCATTTAGTAGCTTTGAAAAACTCATAAATTGTAGATAAGAAGAAATGCCAGAGATGAAAAATGAGCTTAATTTTATGTCTCTAAAACAAATTAAAAAGCGGGGGTTAGGTTACTGCATATCGAATGTATGTTTGTACAGCCCCTTACTTTCTAGAGTCCAGAGTACTTTTTCATATACATAGACAACATTGCATGCACTATGTAGAAAGTTCAAGTCCCTTATTCATGAAAAAACTATAAGGCCAGTTGAATGTGGACTTCTGCACTTCATCTGGTGAAATTCATTTACTATGAGCAGCTCATTCATAACACAGTTTGGAAAAGGGAGTCCACCACAGAGTTACATCTGTCCCCTCGTGGTCCTAAAATCAAGTGCATTTCTTTCTCACAGCTCATGCCCGCCTGATGTTCCGCAACACTGTGACTCTGGAGGACGCGGTCACGGTGGTGTCGGTGATGGAGTGCTCTATGCAGGTGAGGGTGCCTGTGCACCGAACATGTGCTTACCCTGCTTGCCCGCTTTACCAGCACTGTCTAGAGGTATACACACGATCATGTTCAGACCTAGTGCTTGCCGGGAGCGTGTGAGTGGCCGACACTGCCCTTATCTCTGAGGGTTGGCATAGAGCAATAGGCTTCAGCACACCCAGCAGGGTCTGTGGTCTCTCTGTGACATCATGTAGCAATCACTGCCGCCCAGAGCTTGAGGGAAGAGAAGGGATCCCAGAGGCAGGACATGTGGGGTAGGGTGTGTGGGGCTGGTCCCAGCCCCCAACGTGAGTGGTTTCCAGTGGTCCAGCTGCCCTGGTGACTGCCTGCCTGCTCCTCTGCAGGGCGGTGCACTGCTAGGAGGGGTAAATGCCCTGCACACATCCTTCCCTGAGGACCCACGGGCACAGTACCAGCAGCAGTGTGAACTCATCCTCAAGAGGCTGGAGCTGCAGAGCCTCCTGAGCGAAGAACTTCAAAGACTAGAGAGGTAAGGATGGAAATCCCAGGAGGGGAAGGAGGAGAAATCCTCCCTTGGCATCTCAGACCTGTCCTGTTTCTCGATGTGTAATAAAAACTCTAAGACTCCGTGGCTTTAAAAAAAAAAAAGAGAGAGTTTGTTGAAAAGGAAAGAGGTGCTAGGGAGGATAAATGGGGAAAGGAAGAAAAGAAAAAATAATAAAAGAAGGAGCAAATGGAAATAAAGCTTTGTAAGTGACGAGAAGAGGGGAAAGGGAGGGGGAAAGGGAGAAATCAAGATATGTCATGTACAGGTACAAATTCCCTGTGGCAAATATGATTTTATGAATATCTAAATTGTACCAATAAATTTAATTTAATAAAAATAAAGATTGGCTGGGGATTTGTTTCAGCAGCAGAACGCTTGCCTAGCAAGCTGAAAGCCCTGGGTTCTGTCCTAGGCACCAAAAACAAAAATAAACCTCAACCGAAAAACAAAAGACAAAGAAGTAAATACAGACATAAAAATCCTAAGTGGTGCTCGCTCGGAAAGTGTCAGAGATGCAGGCAAGCCCAGGAGAGTGCTTGTCTCTTCCACTCGCAGGCCAGCTCAGGGCCGACAGGTGCCATCTTGGGCTTGGTGGCAGTATGGACCAGAGGTCTGGAGGACAAGAAAAAGCATGCGTCTCGGAGCCAGTGAGCACACACATTCTTCACCTCGGAAAGGCAGCTGACTGCGAGTCTGTGGGTGCCCTCGACACTTGGGTCGTCGGGGTGGAGGAGGCAGTGGCTGCACTGCTCTCTGGTGTCTTCCTGACCAGACCCTCAGGCTGAGCAGCAGGCCTGGTGCACGGTGCTAACAGAAGGGGAGCTGCGGGCTGGCCTCAAGGCCTGGCTAGGGCCACAGTCTTTCTCTAATGTGTAACGGTAGCATAGCCTTCCAGAGAAGGGGACTGACTATCCTGCTTGCACTTCGGGTGAAACCAGCCTCCCTGTCTTGTGGCCTCCTGGCTCTTTTATTATCCAGAATCGGGCAGTGGGTCGCTTACCCTCCGAGTCTTGGTGTTTGCTGCACCTGACCCTTTCCAGCCCCTCGTGGGCAGAGCTTTGCCTGAGGGGCAGGGGCTGCTCATGTCCTGCCGTCCCAGTGACAGGAACTGCTGGACAGTGGGGTCAGGAAAGGAGCAGGTGTGAGTGCTGGTCAGTATTGTGCTTCGACTAAAAAATGACCTAGAGGAGGAGGAGGAGAAAGAGTGTGGACTGTCTAAAGATGGGGTTCTTTGCTATGGTGTTTCCTTGTGAAGTTCTGGCCTTGAACCTCAGAGTAACTAAGCCGGTGCCGTACGCTGAAGGTGAGTCACCTCAAGCCCTAATCAAGGAGAAGGCCAACTAGCGCTTGGTTCTGACCTGGTAGGAAAGAGTGCTCTGTTCCTTAAGGAGATCAAACAGTTACGAGAACCTCTGGTACTCTTGGTCAGACTTCACTTGTAGAAAATGTATAACCATTGACAATCTGCACCAAGTAATGGCCATCTCGTCTGCCTCAAAGCTGAGGCCGGAATCACGTGTCCTGGAGGAAGGTGTGGTGAGCCTGCAGAAATAGTATGTGGGGAGAACTCATTTTCTGAGGGAGAATTAGATTAAAATAACAGAGCCGGCCAGGCGTGGAACCTGCCTGGGATCCAGCTCTCAGAGAACCGTGGCAGTGTGTTCAAGGCTAGCCTCACCTACTCAGAGACCCTGTCTCAAAATGCACTCAAAACACACACACACACACACACACACACACACACACACACACACACACCTGGAGATATAGCTCAGCCTGAAATCCTGCCTGAATCTCCCGTACCATGAAATAAATGCCACGTGAATTGCATGTTTTCTCATCTGCTCTGGATGTGATTTTTCTCAGACTTGGTCCTGAGGTACAGTCAAGGGCACGAGAGGCCACCTGTAGGTGTCCAGAGAGCTTTCGGAGGGCCCCAGCTGCAGGGTGCTCCCTGCTAGGAGAGCATGGTCCTCTGTGTGTGCAGTGTACTGACAGTGAGTATGGCTGAGCAGATCGCTTACTCCGGAGGAGAGAGGTTTGGACTCCGTACCAAGTACCAGGCTTTGCAGGAGAGGGCGTCCTGGCTCCTGGGTGCCCGCTGTGAAGGCGAGCACGGAGGGGCCCAGACGCCTGACCGCACTCCCGAGGAAGGAATCCTCACACGGGAGTCCAGCAGTGCCGGGCGGGCTCGCGTGGTCCTGACTCCAGCCTCCCGCCTTGGTTCTGCTCCCCTGGCCCAGCACCGTAGCTCCCCAGCAGCAGGAGCTGCGGCTGGTGCCCTCTGCTCTCAGTGAAAGGCTTTCCCTTCTCTCTTTCAGTCCATGTTCAGAGTGACTGAGAGCACCTGTCAGAGCACCACATTCTGCACCGATGTTTCGGAAGGGGAGTTCCCCTTGCGCCCTGGCATGCTGTGCAGTGCTCACAGGGGTGAGGTTGGCCTTAACCACTCAGATGGCATCTTAGGGACCAGGTGGACTCTGCCCCTTGGTCACGTGTTCCTTCTCTGTCTGTGCCAGGTTGCAGAACCAGGATGTGCATCCTTCTCAACTCCAGGCGGCAGAGGTGGAGTCCATGCCACAGTCCTCCGGAGATGACCAGGGGGACAAACTGGAGTGGGAGACTTCGACACAGCAGGGGCCAAGCTGTAGCCAGCATGCCCTGGCACCTGGAGACAGCCCCTGGGGAAGCCCAGCTCTGGAACCCCTGCCTGATCCAGGGCCCAGTGGGTCCCTGAGAAGAGATGATGGCCAGGGCAGTGGTGACCACGTGGCTGCTCAGCAGACAGGACCTAGAAACACTGCTCGGGTGTCTCCTGGCCCCCAGGCAGCTGGGGAAAATACAGCTTTGGAAAGGTGCACTGACCGGGCCCCTGCACTGCTCCAGGCCCCCTCCACTCTGCAGTGGGCTCCCACACATGGCCCAGAAGGCCCATCAGAAACGCCTGCCAGGAAGAGACCCAAGTCCCCTGAGAGCTCTGGGACACCAGGGCCCCCCACAGCCAAACTGGCCAAGTTTACTTTCAAGCAGAAGGCAAAGCTGACCCATTCCCCCAAGGGTCTTGACTGTGTGTCCCCCGGCCTGGATGAAGTGGCAGGTCCTGGTCCTGGGGCTCCGCAGCAGGGGTCTAGGAGAGAAGCTGTTGCACCCATGACAGGTCCTAAACGGTTGGTGTCCACCTCAGCCAGCAAAGACCTCACACAGCCCCACAGTGACACAAAGCAGCTGTCACAGCAGCTGTGCCAGGAAGACAGGTGCAGAGAGAAGCAAGGGTGCGGCCTTCAGCGGGAGCCTGGGAACCAGGCCCGAACCCAGGAGGAGGAGGCCCCCTGCAGCACCAGGGGCAGGAAGGTGCATGCCGGCACTCTTGCTGCCTTGGCCAGGTTCTCCTTCACACCACCAGAGCCCCAGTCAGTGTCTCCACCCCCTCCCGGAGGGCAGAGCAAGACCCCTGGCAGCTCCGGCCCACCTCACACAACCTCAGTGCCGGTGCTCAGCCATGGACGGAAGTCCTTCCAGCTGCAGGTCTCTGCCGAGAAACCGAGTCTATCCAAAAGCTCTCTCTTCACGTTACCAGAACTAGATGAGGAGCCTTTAGATTTTGACTGGGATGAAGAGATGAGAAGAAAGCCTTGACTGGACAGCATGATGGCGCACCCTCGGGAAGGCAGCAGGGCATCAGCAGGTGGTGGTGGCTATGCCCTGCATGTGCCCTCGTGGTGGAGCACCAGTTCGGGGCCTGACACCAGCACTGTGACAAACGATGCGCTGATGCTGGGCGGCATTTTGCAGATAGAATCCTGACTTTCCCAGAAATGTTTCCGCCTTTTCATCTCTCCTCTCTTCTCTTCTCTTCTCTTCTCTTCTCTTCTCTTCTCTTCTCTTCTCTTCTCTTCTCTTCTTTCTCCTCTTCTCTCTCTCTCTCTC